GGTAGTGAGATCCGAATTCGATAAAAAAAGTATATACTACGATGGAATTAGAGAATATAATGATCTGCCAATTGATATTAAAAACTGCAATAATACCAAAAAATTTAAAAAATTATTATACAGCTACTGTAAAGCGCTACCTATCAAGTAGTTAAAAATTTTTAGTAAATAATTTTATAGATTATTAGATAATTGAAGTCGAAGAAATTTAAAGAATCGAAACAAATATGTAAACATTAAAAATACTTTGTACCTTATTAAATTATCTAGATCTTCAAGATCGTAATAAATAAATAAATAAATAAACCACTTAACAATGTAATTATAGACAAAATAATCTTCTCTAAAGTTAAAGCAGCTTATTAAAGTGCCTTTCAATGGGATATGTACTTGTCAAACAAGCTGCTTTTAACTTTAGAGCTGACTTTAATTTGATTATAACTACGGGCCCATGATCCAACCACACTCCAATCCAATTGGTTCATGCTACGGGACAGTTTTCGGGTATCAGTAGCCTAATAGGTAAAAAAATAATTTCCTATTGAGAACAGTTGCGATTGCCAGTAACAATTAATAGTTGAGTTGTCTCAGACGCAACTTCAAAGTTGAGTAGTGAGCCTAGGGGCCACTACTAATAATAATAAACGTAATGTTGCGTTATACTAAAGCCAACCTTGCCTCTTAAGCTGTTATGCCTTTGGATAACAGATATATTTAAATAAAGTAAACCTTAACTGTTCCTATTAAATTATTGTGGCATACACATTTTCATCGATTCATTATTAAATGAAAAACAAATCAACTTCTATATAATATATGCCTAGATTCAGTCTAACAGTCATGAAACGCCGCACAATGTTACTAAAAATACATATGCGGAGCTGGGACTGTACTACCCGTCAAATTAATAAGTATGTACATATATAGTCAGAGTTCATAAAATCTACTATATCTACTTACAAACAATTTTATCAACTGGGTCGTAGTCATCGTACTCAATAAAAGCAAAGCCACGCTTTTTGCCAGTCTCTTTATCAATTACAATGTTCACATCTGTTATTTGGCCATATTGTCCGAAATGATCGCGTAGACATTGTTCATCGTGGTCGTCTTTAAGTCCACCCACAAATAGTTTCTTAACCGTAGCACCGGCATGCGGGTTATCAATATCTTGACGTGGCACTGCACGTTTCGGTTCCACAACGCGGCCATCAATCTTATGTGGACGAGCATTTTGGGCATCATCAACCATGGTTGACCTCGAATAGGTGATGAATCCAAACCCACGTGATCGCTTGGTCCTAGGATCCTTCATAACCACCACATCAACTATCTTACCCCATTTTTCAAAATGCGATTTAAGACCATCATCAGTGGTACGGTAATCTAATCCACCAATAAACAATTTTCGCAAGCATTCGGGCTCATTGATATCCTCCTATAAATAAATAAAAAAAATATATATGCACTTATTTGAATGGAAATCGATTTTCTTTCACAGATACATACACATTGGAAACAAAATGGCGGACCTGGCACAACTTCTAGAAATTACTACTACCCACCCAAGCAAATCTACTTACGTCATTATAATTTCCATTGTGGTTGGAGTTGTCTTTTTGATTAGGCATTTTAACCATTTATATATATAAATTTATTTCAAAATTTTAACAATTATCCCTTTAATTACGTAAGCGCAAAAGCACAAGTTAACCACTCGAAGTTAAAAATCCGAATGAACATCCGTTCGTCTACTTTACAATATGGCTACCCATGATTCAATAATACAAGGTTCGATAAACTGACAGTTGTCTCTCTCGCACCGCTCCCTTAGCAGTGGCACCGTGTTGCTTCTTTGCAAATTTACATGGAAACAGTGTAGCTTTGGTGTGAAATAAAAGTATAAGCTTTTGTGCAATATGTTTATTTGTATATGCATATGAAGCATATTTAACTGATGAAAACCTAAGCATTGGATGTTTACATCAATCTCATAGTAGTCTTATTTTAATTTTGACTCATTTTGCAGTTTTTGTACGGCTAAATAGCACATAAATTACGTAATTCACATAGATATATCAATATTACGTTCAACATTTCGTTTAAAATGCCAGATTTCCTGCAAATACATTAGAATTTACGAAAGGACTTTCACTACTAATTGCCTACTTTGCGTATTTTTCTACTACCATTTTCGAAACAAGGGATTGCATTCTTGCCCTTTCTCTGCCTTCGTAAATGCAACCTTTTGTAAGGGAGTGTCAAACCGCAGCTGTCAATAATTATCTAACCTTGTATTATTGAATCATGATGGCTACCAACGAAACAGCATGAAATGAATAGAGTTACCAGCTTCAAAGGGAAAAACGAAGAATGAATGGGATCGCCATAGTTCGGGGTCTGCATCTGCCAAAACTTGCACTATGACATAAAGCTGCAGCCAGAATATTACTTTTTTTTACTGTTACTCAAATTAACCAAGACGGGACCGAATTGTGCAATTTACCGTCTAAATCACTGTCTTCGAAAAATCAAAGACACAGTGAGAGAACTGTGAATGTATTAATAAAAAACTGTGAATGTATTGCTATTTTCCTAGCAAAACAACAACCAAATACACGTTTATATTGCGAGCCGATTGCTCCAAGACGACACCCGCTTACAACCGCATCTAATTTTTACTCATCATTCAAGTAATTTCAAATAACGAATAAATATTTATTATTCATTTAAGTGACTTCAACATAACAAGGTAAAATCATTGAGAGGCAGTCTGACGTTTGCCAGCAATACAATTTAAATATTCAAAATTCAAACTCATACACTATTGGTTGCGTTTATAAGATGTAGCTGTTTAGCTCATCTGCTACGAAACTGCTGGCAACTGTTGAACCCAACAATTACGTCTTAGGTCGGTGTTATGCAGACAAACTTTTGTTTGCCAAATTAAATGGCGGCTGCTTAGTTTGCTCGGAGGTGGTTATGTCGAGTTTGGCACAGGGTTGCACGTTCATTATGGTTTTCATGGCTATTGCCAACACGAAATGAGAATTTCAGATGTACATAACGCGCACAATTTAAAATTTTTGTATATGACAACACCGAATTTGCTGCAGTTTGACCAAACAAAATTAGTTTGCTGTGAGAGTCGCCAAACTCGCTCTCTCCGAGTTTGCTGCAACAACAATTGCACGCAGTTTGCCAAACAAAATTTCTGCATAACACCAACCTTAGAAACGGCTTGATGAATATGCTGCCAAATGAACAGCTGATAAATGTAAACAAATGAAATTGCAACAAATAGAGATAGTTGCGCCGATACTATTTAGAATTCAACGCTGAGCGGCCGCCGTGTTGAAAAAATCGTTCAATGTTACAATGAATTAAACAGTGTAAAATTATATAGCAAACATCTGTAAAACATATATTTAGAAACGTAGTATTGTTATTAAATATTTTAGTTACTTTGTCACGTTAGTAATATAAAATATAATAAATTTGTTTGCAACTGCCACCTAACAAAGCGGCGTTAAATTTAATATAAGCGGCGTAAGTCTTTTCGATCAGTTGTTCAGGCTAAGCCCAACACGTTGAGTTCAGGTGGCGTAAAAATTTTCGCTGGAAAAAAATTGCGGAAAGTTGCCAACTGTTGGGCTGAGCGTAACTACTCAACTGTGCCTTTCTAAGACAAACAGCCAACGGTTACCCAACAGCTACGACTTATGAACGCGCCCATTCTCATTTTTAATCTGAAACAACAACAATTGTGAACAATTTTATTTTTCTATTTTCAATTTTATACGATTTTAAATTGCTTACAAACGTCAAAAAAAAAAATCATAGCCGACGAATTGAGGGAATGAATTTACCTTGTAATATTTTTATCATGAGTTAAACCATATATCGCATTCCGTCTTCAAAAGAGGACAAATAAAAATTTGGCATTTTTGAAATTATGCGCTAAGTGGTTCGCATTTTCTGGCAACGCGTAATTTTGAGTTGTGCTCCTTTTAAAGACGGTGTGCGATAATCTATATAGATTATTTCATAGTTTTAGAAATATAAATTGATTTGTAAATGAAATTAAAGCTTACGCATTCTTATACTTTGTTATATATTTGGAGGATTCGCTAACTACCCGTCTCTACACGATAATGTTTATATCTTGAAACATATATCAGAATATATCTGTGTTCGTATGGAAATGTAGCTTATGTCGAAAGGCTGGCTTTAGTATAAATCGGCATTCGCAGCATACGATTGCGAATGACTTGCTGGCGCTGAGCCGTTGCACAACAAATTCCTTGTTATATAAAAAATAAAGGGAATGCCCCATTATACTAAAGCCAGCCTTTCGACATAAGCAACTTTTTCATACGAACACAGATATATTTATATCTAATAGGACATTTGCACGATGCGATTTTACAGGCAACAAATGTTGAATGCGAAGTTGAATGAGAAGTTGAAAGTGAAAAAGTTGCCATCTAGGGCTTTCGCACGAGTCGATTTTTCAGGCAACTTTTAGTTGAAAGCAAAAACCGCCTCGTCCGAACGGCCTTTCAACTAATTTGCTTTCAACAAAGTTGGTCGCCAGCCAACTTTGAGCTCGTTCAACTTTTTTTCCTTGCAACCCTGTGTTTATTTACATTCTGCATCAGTGTTGGGAAAGGAAATTGTTCCTTCAGTACGAAATCTATACAAAAAATGTACTTTTCGGCTATAAATTGTATACACTTTTAAATTCGCTCATATATTTTCTTAGTACATTCCCTTCAAGACCAATGATTTTATGGTATTCAAGAGAAAGTTTTATTGTTTATGTAGATACGTTTACGTATTTTACACTTTTACATATTGATTCCACGTGCACATGTACTGCATTTAACGCAAATATGTATGCACACATTTTCAGGTATACATCTTAACAAAAAGGTTATTTAAGTTATTATGAATAAATAAAAGAGACATTTTCTTTGTATTCAGTACTAAAATTTGACATTTTAATAGCATTTCAAGTGCTTAACAAAACTTTACTACAAGATTTTACCATTTATCTTAATAGTTTTAAATTTTAATTATTTTTTGTAAAAATATTATTATTATTATTATTATTATATTTTAAGAAAAGCCTTACAAATCCAAGGTTCAAACTTTGTGCAACATTAAAAAAAACCAACACACTTTCGTAAAAATTTCGAGCTTTTTAATTCGATTTCCTAGATTAATTTTGAGTGTGCGGTTTTTTAGCCCATTAAATTTTAATATAACAAAGTTTTTTAAAATTTCTTTGAAGAAGGTGTTGCTAATTTTCTCCATATAAAAAAATCGTATGGAAGAAAATGGCTGACATCGTCGACAAAAAAAATTGCCAGGTTCAACGGTAAGTCCCAGCTACTTTAAACTTGCACTTTATTGTACTAAAATTGAATGGGCTAAAAACTAAAGAATATTAATAAAGCTCGAAATTTTTACGAAAGTATGTTGGTTTTTGGATGTTTCGCAAAGATTTAATCTTGGGTTTATACAGTTTAAAGAATACATTATATTTTGTAAACAGATAATTAAAATTAAATAATAAAATAAATATTAAAATCTTGTCAATATGTGAGTGCCGTAAAGGTATTATATTTAAGAAAATCTCTTCTTATTTATTTATTTTTTACAGTCTGTTAGACTTATATTGCAACAAAGATTTAACATTCTTATAATTAGATTTTAGATTTAAAATGTAAATATTAAATATTAAATACAAATTACAAAATGCTCTACAGAAATTTTTAAATAACATTATAACTAACGAAGACTTTGTTTCTATATGGAGCTGACTTCGACATTTTGTTTTAATAAAACTTAGTATCGAAAAGTTTCTTTAAAAATTTGCCTAGGCTATATTATACTGGTTCGTTTAAGCCATTTTTCAAAACTTACAAAGGTAAATACGAACAGGCGAACAAAAGGGAATACAAAAAATTTCTTGCTGTGATTTTCAGAGCTATATATTTTTAGTATTCATTACAAAATTGTACTAAAAAGTACTGCGTAGTAGGAAAGTATATTGTAAATGAAATTGTATCAAACAAGTACAATTGTACCAAAAATTCCAACACTGTTCTGTATACATACTTTTTTTCTTTTTCACTTTTTTACTCTTATTTTATCTTTCAGCTTCGCTAAAAGCACTTCTACCAATGCTTGGCTTACCAAATTTACGCAAAACATATGTTCGAAAGTGCTAAATGTTGCATTTTAAATGCAGCAAAAACGCTGCATAATAATATGAAACAAAATCAGCTGTAAAGGAAAGCCAGCCCTAAGAAAACAACAACAAACCAATAAACAAACTGTCATCGAAATGAGATTAAAATTGAGATGGTCTTGTAAACAGCTACAATTTCACATTGAAATCGAGTGTCGAAATTGCGCAATTTCGGGCGCTTGGATACAGACCTTAACAAATAAATAATATTTAATAGAAATCTTTCTCGTGTCACCATCAAGTTATATACATTTAGTTCAGTTTGTCAAACTGTGTACACGGCAACACTGATGAATTTTGAATACATACACATTCCACCATTTTATTTCATTTCAAGTCACTGTTCGTCTTTCCATAGTTCGATTTTGTGAGCAGCCATTTCTTTGTCAGGAATAAATAAAAAATTACAATTTAGTTCAGCAAAATGATTAAAGCGGCAGAAAATCTGTATCAAGTGGGTATGAAGCCAGAGGTATGTGAATTTCGGAGTTCCTAGA